TTGAATTTATATGCCTCAAATATAATGAAACAAAGAGCCCAACTATAGAATGAACTAAATCAACATCCCTTCTCCCAAATATCCTAAATCTTAGTAGAAAATTTAATATGATGGAACGACAATCAAATAGAAGTAAGAGGTTCAACATACCCAACATGGGCCAAAGAAAACAAGCAATGTAGACTAGTTTCACGATGTACCTCAACATCTTTGATACTTTCTACATGGACTCGTATTGTCAGATTGGAATCAAGGAATTCACATGGAAAAAACAAAATCCTACAACTAATTAGTCTCAAATTGATAGATTCTACATAAGCCATAAACTACACAAATAAGAGAGGACACACAGCATTTGGCCACAAATTGCATACATCTTAGATCACTCGATTGCATTCCTTTTGATTTGTTTTGCAAGGAGGAAGAGGCCCAAAAAGGCTCACTTTGAACAAAGTCACTTATACAATGTAGAAGCAAAGAAAAAATTCACAAGGACATAGAAAGACACAATGGACAACATAGATTTCAAAATCCTAAGAATGAAAGTTGTGACAATACTAGAATAAATATAAAGGATAAGCATCCCCTTAAAAAAAAAAAAAAAAAAAAAAAAAAAAAAAGACAAGGCCAAATCTTCTATTCAAATTAATTCCTCCCAATTGAAGAAGTGGAGAGCCGCCTCCAAAGATATAAGACAAACTTAGAAGCCTAAGCCAGCCTAAATAAAGCTCAAGCCTTTCTTAAAGAAGCCAAAAAAAAAAAAAAAAAAAAAAATAGAAGAAATAAAAAACAAAACAATAGCATTATGAAACAAGGTGGGAGATTGATGCTCAAAGGAGTTTTTTGAATTCCACAAAAATAAAAATAGAAGAGCCAACATTGAAGAATTAGTTATTATAGATGATAAGAGCCTAATAACACAAGCCAACATAGTCAATTACATCCACCAGTTATATACAATCTTATATACAAACAATCCAAGAGTCAAGAATAATCAAGTCGCATGAGATTGTTGTCTATTGAGTGTATCAATGAAGATCACTTGTACTCAAAATAATGAGCTCACTACTTCCATTTCCAAAATGGAGGTACACAAGATCGTGAAACACCTCCCAAAGAATAAAACTACAATAGAAGACATCATCTCTATAGAATTCTTCATCAAAATGTGAGATATGGTGGGCCAAGACATCACCATGCTTATTAACACTACTCTCAATAAGGGACGCCTCCATGGAGACCTCAATATAGGCTATTTAGCCTCCTATTAAAAGAAAGAATGGTGTTGAACATAAAGAATTATCACCCTATCATAGTGCTGACAACCACATATAAACTAACAGCCAAAGTCCTCACCAACTGACTTCAACTAGTGCTACCAATGTGCATCTACCCCACACAAATAGGATTCATAAAAGAATGGTATATCCTATACAACATACTATTGGTCCAAGAATTGATCCACTAAGTCAAAGAGAGCCAGTACGACGTAGTGATATTACTAATCAACTTTAAAAAAATATATAATAGGATCAATTGGAACTTCTTCTAATAAACAATGAAAAAACTAGGGTTCTTAGAGGAATGGATGAAATGGACAATTGTATTATATGACAATGCTCAATTGGTGATCCAAGTAAATAAACATAACTATGTCATATGCTAGATTCATATACTTAATGGTCAAAAAAAAAGCTCTCCCTGCTAGCTTAGGTGCTTGAATCAAATCAAGTCATATTCAAGAGTATATGGATCTGGTATCATGCAATGACATTCAACAAAGAGTCCTGACGAGAATAAAAGCCATCATCTGGTACTTTGTAGGGGTAGGAGACTCAGATATAAAGACAAGGACTAGAGTGACATGAGACACGACAATCGCCTCAATGGCCAAAAGAGGGATGAAGGTATTTGATCCACTTGGCCAAACAAAAGTTGTCTTTACCAAGATGATAGTAAAAGCCCTAATCTCAAAAAAAGAGTCTTAAAAATCCTTCATCTTGTATAAGAACCAAAACACATAGCTTTGCAAAAATAGAGACTACGACAAACATGAGAGTTGGATATTTATGGCCTTTAAAATATGGCAACTGCAACCTCTGTATCGACTAGATTTCAAAAATGATAGATCATGCATTCTTTATATATTTATAAGTTATATTGGCCTGAAAAATATATGCGACCACCAAGAGACTCTCAGACCCAACTACTTCCAATACTATATGTGAGACTGTGCTCCACAATATCTTTTTAGCTCTACCAACAACAACACAAACATATAGGATGACTTTGCATTCTAGGACAAGGGCAATTCATACTCCATCACTAAGAACACACCATAGAATATCATGTGATATGCCATCAACTGATACATATGGTGCCAAAAATACAAGCACAACCTCAAGAAAGAGCGATTCCACCTCGGAGTCGCACTAAACCAAGCTTGGCAAATTATAGTCCAGGTAGCTATAGGCAAAGCTATAGAAATACAAATACTTAAGCGCCATGGTGAAATAGACTCTAAATTCATGGCAACATAGGCATAGGAAAACATCTTTAGCAAGGCAACATACTCCCCCCCTCCTCCCAAATGGAAGCTCATCTTCTATTCTAAATTCTTTCCTAAGAATCTAGCCAACTAACTCTAAACCATCCCAACATCCACCGTAAATTGGATGTAATCACAAGAAGAACCTCGAAACAAAGTCTCACTTCAATAAAGTGTAGATTAAACCATGTCCATCATACAACCAAAGGCCCTACCATATTCCAACTCTCTACCACAAGTCAAAGATACTAGAAAACAACTCGCGTAGGTGATGGCAGAGGACATCCTAGCACAGACTATGTATGATATTGAACACTCAAAGGAAGACCAGTCCTCACATGACAAGCGGGATAGAAGCCTCATGTACATGCCAACATACATAAATGACACTATGCATATAGTCGAAAGGGACCCGAATTCCAATAACCAAGTGACTAGTTTTCCAACATGAACTAAAGCAATATCTAGCGGGAGCCCAGATACCTGAACCCCACATAATAGGAATGTGGATAGCATTCTTTGGAAGCTTGGATACCCAGACCAAACGAAGTTGGAATCCAAGTAACACATAGGTTTCAAACTAAAAATCCCTCAACTGGCATGCTTTGTATACAAGCATGGATTCTTCTAACCCACTATAATTTTTCATTTACTTTCATTTCAAGCCGTTTTGGCACATTTTGGCTCAAATGACAGAGCACCTAATTTGCATTGAGGAGGTAACGGGATCAATATCCGTCTTTTCTAGACATATTACACATTTTTGTCTATTTTGTTGACTCATAGTAGTGATAGAGAGGTTATAAGAATGAGTTGAAGAATACGTTAGGTTTGATAAATGGAAAGGTATGATAGATTGAAAAAAACAAATGGTTTTGCTTTATTGAAGTGATTGTTGAAAATGATAGAGAAGGTGTTTGAATGAAGGAAATGAAATAAATTAAAATTGAAGATACCAATTTTTATTTAAAATGCTATAATAAATTGGAAAAAAACTTAATTTTAGTTCTATAAATGTTGACAAATTATCAAAGAAAGATTGGAATTTTTTAAGATATATCATTATTGTTATTTTAGTAATGCCATCAAGAATTGTATCTAAGTATGATTTATAGTCACAAGAGTGTATTAGAAGGTTTGGAGATTCTATACCAAACAACATTCATGAATATCAGTGAGAATTTTAATTAACTACATTCTTTTTTTAAATTACCAGTTGTGATAATACAAAGTATATATTGTAATTGTGTACAAGTCTTAAAGTTTGAAGAGAGTAAGTATTTGAGCATGAGATTTTATATAAGGTTCAAGGATAAGCATAATACAAGTTTACATATCAAATTCATATTCAAATTTTATTTGTTTGATGTGATGTAAATAAAAGTGTATTCTTATTAAATTTATTGGTGAATATTATTTCTGCAATACATGTTCAAAATCTATCCATGTGAGCACAATAGTTCAAACGCATGAACAAATTGCCTTGTGAATGAGGTCCAATTAATTCATGGATAGAGGTTTTGGTAGGCAATAATGTCAATGTGATATTACCACTGACTTGTGGCCACTATAAGTTGTCTTTCAACAATAAAGTGGTAGATGATCACAATAAAAAAGAATGAACACAAAGTATATTGTTGCATTTGATATCATGATATTAATTTAATTAAATATGTCCATTATTATTTTTTATTTAAAATCTTTATAAAAATATAAATAAATAAATTAGTCAACTCTCCATTTTTTGAGATGTGTATTATATTTAATTAATGGTGCTTTAAAAAATAAAAGAAAAATAATATTCCTTTATGTATTTGCTACAATGAAATTACTGATGCTTCAGTGCCACCTGTTTCCAAGCATTTTCTAAAGCATGCAGATTTTGTTTCGACACAATATGAAATGCTATTTTTTCTTTCATGACTGGTTTTCTAAAATTCTTTCAGAAATTGTTGAGATTTTGTTACTCACTAAAAGAATGCAATCTTCACATACATCAATTGTATCAACCTAGCAAAATTGCATTTAAAAAGTAATCAACCGTAATATTGTAACACAATGCTACTACTACATCTATTGAAATGTTAGGACAAATGACAATATCGGAAGATAATTCTATAGTTTCTACTTATTTACGAATCACAATAAAATTTGTGAAGAATTTGTTTCAAAAAGAAAAAATATCGAAGCAAACGTTACAGTCAAGGGAAGAAAAACATTGTGTAGAAGGACAAATTTAATTTGAAGCAGTGCGAGGACACCAGAATACAAGATATTATTTGCCCCCGATCGTACCCAGTGAAATGCGATCATTGTTGTACAAAGGTGACGAGACAACACGAATGTTAAACTAATGTTTCATTCAGTTGGGAGGCATGCTGAGATAAAAAAGAAATTAAAGAAATTTTGATAAATTAAAATTAAAATGAAAAAAGAAAACGACAAAAGAAGATAGTTAACGGGCTTTTCGATAATCTACTATCCTGCAGACACTTCTATATACCATTTTCACGTTATCGATACATGGATATTCTCATTATCCTAATGAGAGTGAAGACACAGAAAATGGTTAATTCAGTGATCCAAAATTTCATACAGTCCATTGGCGGCAGAACTTCCTCTTTACTTCAGCCTGCCCGATTTGTTCCAGTCCTAAGCACATTCTTCATGAATGTATACCACAACCCGGAGCTGCTTTACCAGAACTAAATCCTACAATGTGCTGCACAACCTATAAATCTGCCGTACGTCGGCGTATACAGTAATATACAATAAAACGTAAACTTTTGTCTACATATAGGTAATAAGCAACAGTAATCTACTTAATCTCATTTCGAGTTGGAACCGACATTGAGCTGCGGCTGTAACAAAGCTGGAGGTGGACCCCTTTTTATTTTCACTCCTCCACAGCTTGAGCACTTCAAGCAAGAATAGTACACGAGTCACTTTTCTCGATAAGGAAAATGAGGCTGCCTTTTCAATACAAAGCGTGTTGCATGACTAGTTGTCATGACCACAATGGCCAAGATGATTACACATGTACAAATCAAGACAACGACAGGGAAAAGGAGATAGCTTACCTTCTTCACACAGCGTCCGAAACAGAGCGGGCAAGGATCGGTATGTAGAAGCTTCCCTTCCCAAGTAAGGGTACCAAGGCCCTTACAAACATGACATGGTCGCACACCGTACCCATCACACTTTTCACAAAGTTTCTGTATCATGAGACATACTCACAGGAGTAATCTGGCCGTCAGAGTATGTTTATCGTATGTGTAGAAAAATGTGCTGATGACATACTCGAGTTTTCTCTCTTGATCGCGTCTAGTAATCTATCATAATCTAAAGCTTAATCGAATAAAAAAAGTGACTAAAATATAAGTCTGGGCATGCTCAGTAACCTGTGGTGTTCCGGACAGAGCTCCCTGTTTCTCCACAGCGGTTTTGAGTCCAAGGACTGCAACTGCTAATGCCATCATGAGACCTATCGGCCCTGCGAAAACACGATGTTGGTGAGTTCATGCATTCAGATGCAGAGCGCTCCTCAAAGACCCACTTGTGCAAAGCCACATTAGGTAACACAAAAGACAAAGGTAAGTCTGAAGAGAGCTCGAAATTTGGCACCGAATCAGACACAGGTGCAAGGAACAAAAATTCGAACGGTAAAGCGATGATATCCATTACATCTCAACTATCTTCAAGGGAACTGCACTGCTATATACCCGGCACTTTTGCTCTATGAACAGGATTTCCGACGGCTCCTACTGTTTGGGACACTGCATGCCTCCCAACTGTTGCTAATCCTTGCGACAATGACATTGACGGCGGCCTTGCCCTTGCGCTCCTTGCTCTTGCTCTTGCTCTTGAACTTTTCTTTACATCCATATCTGGGATAAAATAAGATGAAAAAAAGCTGAATGGTCAACTACTTAAAGGAGCAATGTAATGACATCAAGTGCAAGCATCAACAAATTCGAAATCAGAAGATTCATAATATTTTACCCGCTTGCTAGACGATATCATCAAAGTCATAAGCCACTCACCGACAAGTTTCTCAGCGTGGGCTCCATCTCCGTATGCAGCAGCTACAGGATCTTGAGGTCCGGGCTGACTACTATCATCTCCTACTTCTGCTTCACTAACACTCGACTCAGGTTGTTCCTGATGTTGAGGCGAACCCAATCGTGGTGAGGAATCACTTAATGATCCAGATTCGCTCACTTTTTCTCCAGAATTCAGGACATTAGAAGACTTACGTTTTGCACTCTCGAAGCTTTCCACTAGCGGTGAGTACAATGACCTGAAAATTCAGCCACAGATTTTAAGTGTCTAAAAGTAGCAAGAAGTAAAACAAACTAGCGGACAGCTAAAATAATCTTATCCATCTCGAAGGAAACTAGCAAACATCGCAGAGCACCGACAAGAGGAATTTTTGATAACTCACGACACCCTAAACATTATCCTCACAAGCTTATCCACAATTCCAAAGCTTAATACTTTCAGGCAAAATATATTTATACCTCGAGAGTTAAAAACATAGAATTTAAGTCCTGCGACTCACACACACATAAATTTTGAGAAATCAAAAAACGAGATAATAGTAAGACTAACCAACCTTGTAATTGCCCGTGTTCTTAGCTGCTTCCAAACATAACGCTTCCTCAAAGTGAGCTTCAGCAATCCTCCAGCAGGCCGAATGCTCTGTCCCGATGCGTACGAGACTTCAAATGTGTTATAACCTGGTGTCGATGCTAAAGATCCACAACTGCAGCACATTCTGCATCTTTGCAGGTCCCATGCTGCCATAGCTACAGCAGAGATTACGAACTCTACACACCTTCCCGTAACACTCAAACCTCAATCTGCACAAAACCAATTCCGAACTAATATGCTTCACAATGATTTCGACCCTTGAGAATAAGAGCTACAGTAGAGCCGAACACAGATCACCAACCCCAAAACACACTCTGAATATACACCTGATCAAATCCTTCAAGGCGCCACTACGTGTGCTAAAAATGGGGCTCTAATTTTAACTGTCTATGAGGCCACTTCACCAATGAGAAAAACGCGTTTGTCACTCTCCCTCGGCTGTGATCTATTGGACCCAAAAGACGGGGAGGCGTATCCAAGATAGCAGCTTCTGTGAGAAACAAATAATCCTGAGTTTTCAGTCCTATCTTCAAAACCCTATTGTAGGACAGAACGCGCTGAACACGGAGGATACACATTTACTCTCACCTACTGAGTCATAATAAGTGTGACCTCCACAAGATAAGGGTCAGATAGAAAAGACTTTTAGGCGAGAATGTCCCAGAAAGTGGGTTAGAATTCGAATGTAAGTTGTCAAATACTTTAATCTGTTCCGTAAGACGCAACCAGAACGACTACTTCACGGAAGGAGCAATGCAAGCGAGGGAAACACAACAACGATTGCGGACCTCACCTGACAAAGCAGATCATTCAAAAGCAGGCTACAGACGGGGTGCCAGCATTGGCGACCTCGACCTTTAAGAGAACTACAAGGGACCCAAGATTTTTTCCAGCGATGACTATCCTGCCAAAATCAGACACGGTTCGATCACGTTCAGGCCTGGAGACCAGTCCTCGCAAATTGCAGCGAATTGCGACGATTCAAAGGCGATCCCAGCTACCAGCTTGACTCTCTATGAGAGATTTTCCATGAGGGCGGAGTTTTCGTGACGGGGCAAACTAGATGCAACGAACCCTACCAGAATAGGCGAAAAGAAGTGGTTCGATGTCGTCCAACTGGCCACTAGAGCAAGCGATGAAGCACGCATTTCGTGACATGGGGAGCCCACATTGGCTGGGACTCTCCCACGTCCTGAATGGCGCTGCCTACAGCAACCAATCTCATCACAACGATCCATCCGTGTATCTCTGCAACTCCGTTTTTAGCATCAGGGGTTGCAAGGATCGGACGAGGTGATGCTAGGGTAGCAGTAGATCGGACCCGGGTATTGGACATAAGAACAAACAATTCTGCTGGCGTCACATCTTTGTGAGGAAAGATGGAAAACCCTTCTTCACGAGGGTGTGAACTGGGCGTCTTGGATTCGGCATTGGCTGCGTGGTTTCTGAGTGAATTGGTGGGTAGATCACTTCGTGTTCGTTAGTGAAGGTGAGGCAGGACTGCGGTTGTGTTTGGGACTTTTACTTCGTTTTTATCTTGTCGATTGATTTTTTTTCTGCAGGTCGTAGATGATTTGTATTGTGCTTTTGAATTTTAGGTTGAGGCATCATGAGGTTCTACTTGTGTGGGGGCTTGGATGCGCCAGACTGGATTCTGGCCAACATCGTCACTCTATCATCTATTGTAAGTTACACCAAGTGAAATCCATTTAGAGCTGAGTAGATCAATGCTTGTTTTTGGAAGAATATAGAAACAATTTTGTTTTCCTTGTGTGTTGTTGCTCTCGAACTGGCAATTGATGCGAGGAGCGTGTGGAGTAGCAATGTAAGTTAGGCATCTTTAGCTTCACGCATATTTGAGGGACTTTGATTCTTTCTAATATTTCAGTGTTTTTAAGTTTTGGTATTTAATGCAGAAGTGACTCGTAGGAGATTCGGTAGTGCTACTGAAACGATCAATAGTGTAGTTAGGTTGAGGGTTTAGGGTTCAGATATTATTTCATCAATGTGAATATTTATGAATCGTCACGAGTACCTAAAAGTTACGTTTATGACGTTTGTGCACATGACTTCGCTGAAGCTTTTTGGGCTGTTTGTATTGAGATTTTTTGAAGCCATCGGCGAAAGTGAAGGTACTGGTGGAGTATATCATACAGCGAATTTCTGAAGGTGTTTTTGATGTACGGCAATCTTTCTATCCAAATGCTGGAATTAACCCTCCTATTGTCACCATGTCTTCAGTAAAGATTTTTTTGTTGTGACCCTTTCAACTCTGTCAATGGTCTCATCTTTCACTTGCAACGTCGTGTGCGCAGTATGAAAACGCATTGAAAATAACAACTGACGCATCTCTTGGTACGAATCTCTCTCTCTGCAAATTCATCCCAGTCTACCTTCTTGTAAATTATCCCGATCTTATCAATTTATGGATTGTTAAGATTTGGGCTGCCCTGTGGCGTAGAGCAGGGGTATCAGATGCGAAGGCATGCATTGCAGCACTCCATTTCATGGTCTCGAATGCTGCCAAGTTTGATGTAGAAGATCATACACTTACTCGTGAATTGCAACAGCTAGGCCTACCAAAAGGTCAATAATTTTCAACGGCTACTTCCTCTTGTACCTGTCATCTTCAACCTGTTCTTATATTTGAAAGTTCATCGTCCTGGATTTTCGTTTGTATCACTTACGACCTTGTACCCACAAACAGTAATGATAAAAAAACATAGCTTCCTTGATTTTGTGACTCTGCCACCATCGTGTTGAAGACTTATCTCCCCCGTAAGAGAACAATATGGTTCGCATGTTCCATGAGCCATCTCTCTTTAAAATATTTCATAATCATTTCTCTTTTTAAATGACTTAGCGTTAAGGGTTAGCGAATGAATTTCCTATCATCTTGTAGTCCAACCATGTTTGCAGGGCACACTGATGCTGTTGTGAGACCCTATTGGTTGCGGAGAGAGTCACTCCAGACGAAGCTCTTGCAAGAAACACTACAACGTAAGTTACCGTGGCTTAACTGCCAGTGTTTAATAACCGTGTCGTTGTTTTTTTCTTTTTCTTTCTTTTCTTTCTTTAGCATCTAACTTCTGCCATATCCTTACGTCGTAATCAGATGAAAGGCAAAATTCGTTTGTGAGGAGGGAGAACAGAATGACGCAACAAAAAAATAAACAAAAAAAATCATCGCATTAACATTATTGTAAATTTGTGTGTAGTTCCTGCTCTTGAGATCAAAGCCTGGCAAACACTAGGTGAGAAGAAGAACGTGATTATGCGTTTGAAATCCAGCATCGATTATACCAAGCAGGAAACTGATGAGTCGGAGGACATTGTTGTCTGCATGACTGCTGAGAAATTTCGGGTGCTCCATCACGGTATTATTAACAACTTGTTATTTTGGTTTTAGTTTGCGGTCAAGGAAATATTGAAATTGAGGCGACACTATGTGATAGTTGGTATCATGTAAGAAAGATTCATTTTAAACGCAATGTTTAATGTTTTGTTTTGACAGAATTAAAGGCTGCAAGGGCACTGATGGACGCATATATTTAAAAGCTGCAAGGGTATTTGTTGATGCACATATGCAATGGCTGCATGGAAATTTTCTTAACAACTTTAGGTTCTTTCGCAAGAGTTGGAGAGATAGAATTCTGCGTGTGGCAGGTAGTGAGAAATGGTAGAGTGTTATTGTAACAAGTGTAGAGGTATGTGAAATTGTTCTGATTACAATCTCATTATTTGAAAAACATTTTTAACTTTCATTGTGTCGAAGATGAGCGTAACTACAAATATGCACAAATCAAGAAGTGTATAGAATGTGGATCATGTAGTACATTTTTACAATTTTGTGTTCGAATGTATTAACTTGCGTCAAACGCAGTGAGTGTTCATGTTTTCAACATTGATGGTGTACGAACACTCAACCGAAGGGGGTCCAGAATTTCTGTTGAGCCTGTTAACTCTTCGGAAACTGCCCATAACGAGTATGACAACTTGCTGTTTACAGCTGTTGCACTTGGATTCGTCTTCCTGCTATTCTCGTAGTAACCGCCAGTAATACCTTCCATGTCAGGAGAATTCGCAAGATACACTGCCGTCGATGCTCCTTCTTCGGGAGTCTGCGTCAATATAATCGACCACATATCATAATGATGCACATGCACAAAAGTATCCATGACTCATTTTCAAATATTGGATTTACCCTGTTTGAAATTTATTTCATGTCACTATCCTTGAGGCAATCATCCACAAAATGTGCTTACCTTCAAACCCAAAAGCTTGGTCACTAGGCCCCTGAAACCAGGGATAGATGGTAAGCTTATGTTTGTCTGAGGGAGAATGTACCGTGCCAACTGCAGCAAACAAAATCGCTCAGGTTACAATTTTGTGGGCATAGACACAAAACAATGTTACACATTCCGTCTGCACTCCTGTTTCTTTGTATCTTTGAAACTTACAAAACTTGCAGCATCAGCTGTGTCTTGCTTCAGATGAAAACTAACCTCTGTATCAACAATGCCTGGGTGCATACAATTCGACGTCACAGGAATTCCCAACGATTTACAGCGTCGTGCAAGCTCATGAGAAAATAAGGCATTAGCTAATTTTGATTGTCCGTAGGCCGCCCATTCGTTGTATTCTGCACATACGGAGACACAAGAACATACATTTAAATCCAAGTCCAAATCGAACGGCATCTATTCTCGTTGTTCAGCATTTAATACTGCATTAGTTTAGAGAATATATTCCCTGCACTTGGAATTTGAGTAAGTTTGGAGCACTACTTCCTGGATTTCTATAAGTACGTAAACGACATGCCTTAGTAACTAATTGCAGGTTTCAAGAAATTGATAATCAAAGATTTCGAGATGGAAAAAATGTAGTACTTCGTGTTCTGTAATTGAGATCCTCGAAGTTAATATTTCCAAATATATGTGCTGATGAGGACAACACCACCACCCTTGACTTTGTTCTGTAACATCAAACTCACTTAGTCAGCAAATGGCATGTACACGATGTTCTCCAACAGCAGATTTCAAGCAACTTGAGTAGCAAGTTCCGAGCAGAAGCAACACAAATGAATATGATCCCTTTCAAACTTTCCGGAAATGTTGACATAATTTTCACACACCCTGGTGAGGCAGAAGATTTGAGTTTGTCAAGCAGCAAAGCGGTGAGGAGGAAATGGCCCAAATGATTCACCTGTAGCATTAACACCCATTAGATCTACGATGATTAGAGATAAAACACATAATACGCAACCACCAATTTCGTATCCCAAAATATTTGTGCCACGTAAATATGAACCTGCTACATAAAACCATCGTTTGCTCGGACAATCCATCAGCCATGGTTCAACTAGCCGAACAATTTATATTCACAGTACGTCGCTTGCCAAAAATAACCTACAGTGTCCGAAATAGCACAACATCAGGACTACTAAGGTTAAAAATACCAACCCCGAGCTGATACTCAAAGCCGTCCACAGTGTACTGAAGCGGACACGCCATTACACCTGCATTGTTCACCTGCCCATATCACAACCATCCACTACTGTAAAGTCATAAACGCTAGAGGATTGAGGCACTACGGCAGCAAGAAGGTAAAGGCATTTCGAGCAATAGACCAGACCCAAACTCTGTGAACCCAAAAAGGTTGATATTTAGAACACTCACAAGAGAGTGTAATGGAAGCCCTATGTCCAGATATTCTGCTGCAAACTGACGAATCGAGGCGAAGGAAGCCAAATCTAGCTGCATGACCCTGATCAGCCCACAGACGTATCATGTACCGGCAAAGTCAGTACGTCGCTGTGAGTTCATGCAGAAATTGCGCCCTTGTGCAATAGTAATGAAAAAAAAGCCTGCGTCTTGAGAATCTGGGTCCCAGGTCTCAGACCTAACAGAAGAATTATCAGATGCTCGAATGATCTCTTCCACAGCTTGCTCTCCTTTCGCTAAGCTTCTGCATGCTTACTTGAGCCAACACCACATACGTCAAGATTGTGAACGGAAATCACAAACTGTCACTTCAAAAATGCAGACAGAGATGTGTCACATGCATATCACCTACACATGCATATCACCTATTCTGTAGTGACCCTCACCAATTGTGACGGCCATCCCCTGCCTTGCGAGCTCTGTGGCAGTCGCTTTTCCTATACCTGGCAGTAAAATTTATTTATTTATTTAGTTTAATCGACGAGACATCAATAGAAGTCAAGTACTCTTACAACTTGTAATAACCAATAATTACAATTATCCCTTCTATTCTAAGTACGATAATAGACATCATGCAACTTCAAGTGCTACACAATTAGTAGCAATTGAGAATCTGGTACTCATACCAGTGTTTCCACCGGTGATAATTACATGCCGCTGGCTCGAAGAAGGCGAAGATTGAGCCGCCCTACAGAGTCCAACGCGCTGGGTCTTGCCTCCATTCTGCCGGTTCACAACACCCCGAACGGCAGAATATCAAGACAAAGTCGAACGCGAAATTTAAGAATCAGAACCCGCAAGTGTATCGAGCTGCACTGAGAGGATCCCAAAATATGGATTCATAAAATGATACAAACTATATTGCACTTAAGCAAAGAACGAACCTCATCGACATACACAAACGAGCTTTTCCAGGTCTATTCGTTCAAAATTCGTATGAGAAATGCGCTATTCCTGCAGCAAGGATGTCAGAGATATACTAATGAAAATCTACCCTCGACAATACCTTGACAGCTTTTCCCGTGAATGTCAATTGCAATCCCAGTCCATCAATCCGTTTTGCCGAATCGGGCACAAACCACGAGGTTCTTAGTAACAACGAGCCAACACATGTTGTAGCAGTCGCCATCCTGGCCACAAGAAGAGTCAAACACCTCGAACTAAAATTCCAGGGGCAGCCACTCAACGCTCGATTCCAATCGAGACTCTTCTCAACTCCTCTGCACCACGAACTCACAGCTCTAAGTAACCGCCTCACTCAAGACACCACCACAATGTGCCGAACAAAGAACTCCTCACAAGCAGCAGCAGCAGCAGCATGTACCGGTCGGAGAAAAGCTTTCCTCTGCCTTTTTATGTATTCGAGATTCCAGTGCAAGTCAATAACAATGACGCCTGAGCCTGACCTTAGAGGTGCAAGACACGAGGTACTGCAAGAGCACTCCAATGTGACCGCGGAAGTTGATAACGGCATCAGAGGACGGGAGGTCGTAATTTGTTCACACAATGGAAGGCGACGAAACGCGGTAGGTTTCCATGCGACGCGGAGGACGGAGGAGGGGCAGCGTGGGGATGTGTCTTGCTGTGGAGCGATCAATTTCCATGGAAAGCCTGAGTGCAGCTCACGAGCACGGTACAATTGGCGGATGGGGACGAGAACACACCGCGATGCAAAAAGAAAGGAAAGGCAAAAGCAAAAGGAGCGCGGAGAGAAGATGACGACGAAGGCCCAACGTTCCACCTTCGTCGCCCTTCTTCGTCCTACCCCTGTCTCCTCGTTCATCCACTTATTGGACAAAATTCATTCATTTCATTTTGTGGATCATTCATCCCCATCTTTTGGTGAGGGCAGTTCCGCGTGGTTCTACTACACGTTCGTTGTATCAATGTGGGTAGTGGCAAGTGCCTTTAGTTGCTTTATTATGTGTAATAATAATAACAATAATATATACTATCTTCATGAACGTATTCCACTTCCTGTAGTTGTAAAAGGATAAATGAAAATTTGCGAAAGTGTCTTGATTTTGATTGACTTATTATCTCTTTTTTAAACAATCTATAACTTTAATTATGTAATAACTTTAAACACGCTTAATAGAGCATTTTCCACTCGACTTGTGGGAAAAATTGAATACAAATAAAATAAAAAGCCAGCAATGGCATATTTGTAGAGGATAGCAACTATTCTCAGCAAAATGTAATTTCCAGACGAGTATTTATTTATTTATTCATCTATTTACAAATGAATATCCTGAAGAGAGCAATTTCCAATTAATTGTTTTGGTTTAATTTAGGATGTAAATGATAATCGTTTGTTTTAGGAAGTAATTTCTAATGTCAAAGTTATAGTAGTTTTTCTATTTAAAAAAAAAAAAAAAAAAAAAAATCTAAATCAACGATCATAATTCAAAATGCAATAGCTTAATCAAAGTAAAAGAAAATACTCTGAAACCTAACTGTAAACTATTTAATGATCTATTACAGTAATTTAATAACTGAATGCTTCCATTGAAAAAGCAGTGAATCTTCCATGGGATTGTGCAACTTCCAGTGAAACACAATAAAACATAATATTATCTTTAACAAAAGAATTAAGTTCTAAAAATGTTTCATTTATAAAAATTCTACGACTTAATCTTCAATTGGACATAATAAATATTATTTTGATAGAATGCAAAATATAAAACCTAATTGAATGGATATTTACCGGTTAATACACGTAAAACAACACTTAATAACATTACTAGTTGTGTGTTTCAAAATGAATGTCTCATTAATTTATCTTGATATTTAGTTTCAAATGATTTATTAATATTTTTTTGCTTCAAGACTGATTGTCTTGTATGTTTCAAACATAATAAGAAACCCGTTTCTTCTATTGATTGTGATGCAGAATAAAACCATCACAAATTTTTTTTTTGCTAATTGAGCATAATTTTCTTTATTTATTTTTAAATGTAATATAACATATTCAAAATAGATATCACATTGTATATAATATTGTCATGAAATTTTCATTATTAGAATCTTGTAATATATTACCTTTGTTTAAAGTGCCAATGATGCAATAAAATTAAGGACAATAATTTATTGATTCTGAAAGTGAGGCTGTTTGTTGAGGTTAATGTTGGATTTAATTTTTAATTTTTAATTTTCTTCTAAATGGTGTTTAACTAAAATCTGCACAAACTATAGCAACCAAGTAAATTTGAAAGTAGCAAGAGTTGATATTTTTCTACAGTGTTTGAATTCTTTGTGTAACCAACCACCAAACATAATGTTTGAAGTGTTGTTTTTCCATATAGAAAAACAAATGCAATTAATATTTTGCACAAGTTTGACATGTATTACTTCAAAAGCACATTGTTATGACATACATAACAAGAAACAATCAGTGTTTGTTCATCACAATCCTGCATTTATTGACTGTTTCTATTAATGTAGAAGACAAGTCACTTGTTTGGTCTTATTCCAATTGACAACCTTTCCACATCTTGCAATGAATTAGAACTACACTTACCTTCTTCATCATGTCATGCCTTCAATACACTCTTTTTACTCAAACCTTGTATACTGCGGTATAAAATTTTGACTTATTGATTGATTGATAGATTGCCTTGATTTAATTAATTTATTTATATTGTGCATTAGGCACTCCCAAAATATTATACTTTTTGTAATCAATATGAATGTTTGAGACATTTTGTTGTTTACCCAATTAGATTTCCAATCAACACAATTCTAAAAAAATGCATCATGACCTCGTCGTGTCAGTTTTGGTTTAATAAATGTCCCACCCCCCGAGGAGACTAATACTCACAGAGTAGAACGTTGCATTCTACCTAGAGCTCACACCAACACATTAAAAGCCTTAAACGGACATGGAACTGGATTAGGAGGAGATTAGGATTAAATATAGGCACAGTGCACGATTAATTAATCATCAATGATTGCCCCGATTGGTAACCGGATTCGGTTGAGAGGTACGATACCCGTAATGACGCCATAGTACCAGAAGCGTATAGATCGGGGAGGGGGGGAGGGGCGGAGAGTGGGGGGCAACGAGAAGGGGGTGGGGTAGACTAAGAGAAGAAAAGTCAAAATGGCAGGTGAGGGCAATGAATGGCGGGAGGGTGTATAATTCACCAAATATAGTCCTAGTTGGCACTACCAAAACAGCCCCTCTCATTGGCTTTAGGGTTTTGGTGATGTTGCGGGGCTTGGGTGATGTTCGTATTGCCCTTCCTCTACCTTTCCTCCTCTTCATCCTCCTCGTCCTCATCGCTGGGCGCAGTGGTGTTCGATCATGGCCATTGCCGATGCCTCAGGTACGCGTGGGTAGGAGTGTTTGTGGACACCAGAAATGAAATCCGTGTGATTCGTTTGTTTAGGCGGTACATATGAAGAGCTGCACGATAACCGGGATTGTGGTATGGAGGTTGGTGACCAAGTGGAGGGCGAGGATAGAGGGTGAGGAGGATCGTGCGCGCGGCGTTGATCAGATGCATTGGTAGTGAGTGATCCGGGCGCTTGGCAGGGTTGGTGGTATTTTTTTTTTGTTGTTGTGACGGGGTAGGGTCAGGGGCCATGTAGCGTAGGAGATTCAAGGCGGACAGGATGAAGAAGGCATTGACGGAGCTGTGTGACCTTCTTGCGGAGGATTGTAATGTGCTTTCGCACGGGATTTCTTTGTTGCGGGACCAGTGTCCGTCGCTCGAAAGCTTCGCGGATGCCGGGTTTCGGCCTACGGTTCGGCAGGTGAATGGGATTCTGGCTGTCGCAAGGTATTTGTCGCGGTCGAATGAGCCCGAAAATCTTGGTGAATTGTTGGCGCTCGTGCTGCGGTTCGTTGCTGCAATTCCTAACATTTCACGGAACGAGGCGTGGCCTGTTTTGTTCACCCAGGAAAGCTTTGATGGCTACTTCACGGAGCTTGTCGGTTATTTAGCTGATATTTCCGTGAGATGGCCGGACGTCACAATTTCTGTGAGCAATGTACTTACCGACTTTATCCTAAATCTCCCAGAGGGAAGCGAAGATGGTACCGAGTCTGTGAGGTGGATTTCTTTATTTTCTGTTCGATCCTTGGTCGCAGCTCTGGCATCAAATTTTCCTCCTTTACTTTCCATGGATGCGGATTCTCTGGCAAGATATATTTTACAGCATTGGATCCTGCCTCCGTGGACACTGAAGGATGCATCAAGCAGGAGTACTTCGAGTCAAAGTGTATCTGCTCAGAGTTCGCCTATACGGTTAATGTTTTCGTCCTCGTCATCGTCTTCCACCGGCAAGTCTAACTCGATGAAGGATTTCAGACAAGGATACATGAGTGACGGCGCTTCTGATTCAAGGATTTCAACCTCTGCGGATGACAGCCCCAGGCACAATGCCAACGCTTTTTTCACCCCCAACTCTACACCCAGAGGAACACCCGGAAGAGAGCCTAATATGACCGGAGGTTTCCTTCACATGAACGGCAACGGTAGCAGGACTAGTAGCTCTGAGTACGTTGAAAATCATGAAGCAAACAAGCGCACTCGACAACTTCTTGCCGCGTTAGAAGGAGAATCGATCGTGGTATTGGAGAGACAGGAGCTTGGTTTCCGTTTGTTTGTACAAATCCTGGAGAGAAATGACATGGATGAGGAGCTGGTGTCGCAGATGAGAGTTATGGCAATGAATCATCTGGGAGCTCTCCTACCACTTTTAAAGGCACGTCTCTTCCTTTGTTGATTGTTCTTTACATTCTCTTGATTCTCATGAGCCATCTCTTTGTTGAGGTTATGAGCAAGACGCTGATTTTCATCGTTTGCCGATTACACAACCCTCCCTTACTTCTAGTTGGTAGCAGCCTCATGCACCTGAAACTGCATCTGCATTTCGATCGCAAATAATATTGTTGTCTTTTCAGTATGTCGTGGATTCGTCCCACGAGATTCGTGTATGAAACTATTGATGCGAACTAAGTACGCAATTGATTTTCTAAGTCTAGCATGTAGTCAATCTTTCAAGCTGACAATCCTGTATCTTTGTTAGCACAAGCTTTATAAGTCGATCCTTTTTCTACTTAAAACTACGTGGAGAATGTTCTCGTTATTATTCATTTAAAATTTCCTGACGCGCACACTCTGGGTATGTTTCTGCAAAAATCTCTCTTACAGATTCGAAAACGTGAGTGGCCTGTCGATGGCATGCCTCTTTTGGCTAAGATGAATATGAAGCTGCAGGCCTCACAAGCCGCCGCCGCCGTGATAAACATGCTGCTGAAATCAGATTCAGAGGGGAGGCCCTTAAAGAGTGCTGCAGATCGCCAATCTTCTCAAAATTCTATTCAAGAGACATTGACATTTCTGCTGGATGCGGCAGATGCGTGCATAGCATCGCCTTGGCGAAGGATGCGATCGTGCGAATATTTAATTGGGACCCTTCTGTCTGGAGTATCGAAAACAGGTGCTTCACAAGGGAGCCAAATGCTGAGGATCTTTCTCTTACGAGTCAAGTCACTTGTACTGGCAGCGTGTTCTCAAGTAAGCAGAACTTGGTAGTCTTGCTAAATGATTCTTGAGTCCCGACTCTTGTTTTGTTCAAGCAATGGTCGTCATAGTTGTATACATTTAATCCTGATGGAAGAAGCGTTCATGGGTCAAGTACATTCTTTTACCACATGGAAATTAACTGCATTGCTGAATATTCAAGTAGGTTTGCCAGATGAGGCGTCTTGAATTAGCATTTAATTGCTTTTTTCAAGCACTTTCACAGCTAACGAATCAAGGGAGAGCATACTTGGAGGGGACCTATATTAGTCATTTTAGTGGCCGTTTATCGGTTAGTATTGTAAATGAAGTGATTGTCTTCAGGTTACTGGTTTTTCATGCGTATGAACCGTATGAAATGAGCAGAGTGTTGTGTTTCTACGAAAAGTTTAGGAAGATTTCCTCAGTTCCATTCACAACGAAGAATCCCTCATTAATTGATTTACGTTAACCGATTCGTATGAAAGCGCTTTGCTGACAAGAGTGCGCACAGGCTGACACCTTGGCGGGACATCAGGGAACTGTTTCTGCAAGCGTCACCAAGATAGCCTGCGACCTCATCGAAGCCAGCTGGGATGTGGACAGAGTTGCCATAGAGTCTTTTCTGTTGTCGCTGGCCGCGTATGTTCGGGAACGTCTTGAACGGGTGAGTGCATTTGTACAAACAAAGAACTCTTTTGCTTTGAAATCTAAGTTGGTCCCAAGTGGTGTACTTACTGCATAAATGTTTTGGGTCCCAGCCTATATTTCAGAGGAATATGTGCGTATTATCTCTTCTCTGTGAGGGTTTGCAGGTTTGTTTGCTTTGTGGTTGATCTGTTTAGATGTTGAGTATCTGTTAAGGTACTGCTCACTCAAAACTTAAAGCTTGACAAAATGTTCCAAGATGGAACTACACACGCACACACACACACACACACACACACGTGTATAAATAAATAAATAAAATTTCCTAAAAAATATCAGTCCCCATTAAATTTCTTACTCTTGTACCCTGGTGATGGCCTTGTATTGTGAACAGGAGAAAAAGTCCAAGCAGACAGTGGTAGTTACACAGTTGAACGTAATACCGTTGCTTGCAAATTTGGTGGTTCTGCTGGACAAACCAGAGGCTGTAGATTTGATTATGCCGCTTTTTGTGGAGAGTTTGGCTGAGGGCGATGCTTCTGCTCCTAGTCTTATGCGCTTAAAGGTGAAGATTGATCTTCAAATGTTTTGGTGCAAGGATACATCTGCGCACATCTTATCTCTAATTAACTGAGTTTGTTCTTATCCTTATGCAATGTATATTGTTTGTGAATCAGGTTCTTGATGCGGTGGCACGGATGGCTTGCTTGGGTTGTGAAAAGCCATATAGAGAGGTTGTGGTCCTACTGGCAATGAGCTATCTGAAGAAACTTGCTGCAATTGGTTCCCCAGAAAGCAACAGCCTTACGCGTGAAGCAAAAATGGAGCTCGAGCAGGTGTTCTGGTTCCGATGGGCAATGTGCATTTGACTTGCAATTCATTTACTGTCTTCCAGTGTTCTTCTTTCCTTGCTATTGTTCATTCTTGGTCGCAGCGCCTTAATCATTTTGGTGAGCAACGTACTTTGGTTCTGTTAGATCTTCATTCTCAATCGCATATCATTGGCTTTTGGGTCTTGTCTGCAGACCCTGCCTACAGCTTTTCTGCTCATTGCACAAGGCTTAAAAGAACCAACGCTCCGTTCGGATTATCGGCAGCGGCTTCTGAATCTTTGCTTCGATGTCAGCTCGTTTGTGGAATCAAAACCTAGCAGGTTAGTGGATTACAGTATGATTGTGAAGGTGTCCGTAATCAATGAATTCACTTCTAAGAATTAATGTTTTCACGGTAAATTGTTGATGAGGTTTTTTGATGTTATGTAGCGGAAGATGTTTAGAGTATGAGCTCTTCATGATTCTCGTAGTGAAGAGTTATTTCTGTGTGCTTTTAGTATACGGTCAACCTTGTGTACTTTTGGGTGCTTACTGTACTGTTCAAGGTCTGATGCAGTTTTCGTTTACAGAAATGGGGCTGTTTATCTTGGGCCTCTCCTTCCCGCAGTTGCAGAAGTCTGTTCTGATCTACAACCTATTCAAGATGTAGACAATTCATTGCAGAAGCTGTTCCGCAACTTGTGGTTCTACATTGCACTTTACGGTTTAGCTCCACCTATTCAGAAAACCCAGCAGCTTAATACATGCTCGAGGTTTATGGCCTCAAGTAGGAGCCACAACGTTCTCCAATCAATTTCAGGCACAGATGCTTTGAATGAGGAATGGTTGAGTGCTGTCAATCAACTTGCTCTGTGTACTCCGCCACTTGTAAGTCAAATTCATGAGCAGTTCTTTTCTTGTTTCTCTTACCATTTAATACTTGCACTATTTTCCATCTGCTCGGTGGGACTCCCCGTTATTTTTAAGGGTCAAAGAAGTTGCATTGACCATGTGGAGGCTGTGATTAGGTGGTGACATCAATCAAGTGGCTGGAAGATGAAGCTGAGCTGGTTGCGCTATACAATACGAAGACTAAGAAAGGGAGTGGGACTGAAAGAAGTTCTGGGGTGCAACGTGGCCTTCTCTCTGCTGCTATAGGTGGACGGTTAAGTGTCGCATCATTGGGCAATCTCTCAGGTATCCTCTTATGTTTCTTGTCATATGACTTGCAGGGGCTTCTTTCAGCAGCCTGGTGACAATGCTGGTTTCTCTTGTGGAAGTATTTTCGGTTTGTCTATCTAATTATGTAATCTAGCGTAACATAATAAACTAAACTAGCAGTATGAGCCTGGAGTTACGCAGCTGCCCCACTCATCAGATGTGAGTTGAAGATTTGAAAAGAGGGACTTTGTTTTCATTTTTCATTTCAATGAAATGCAGCCTAAGTGTGCAGTGCAGTGATTGAGGTGCTTGGAGTTCCAGTTGATCAACGCTAGAGATCTGGAGTATTTTTGAGAGTCGTGTTAGCTTAGTAGTCTCGTGTTTTCTTCTAATGTTTTATGAAAAAAATTGAGTGTTTTTATTCACTATGTTGATTTTTGATTTTAATGATTCTTAAAATCATTAAAATCATTTATGAAGAACAGTGGTATCAGTCCCAATTTAATACTTCGCATCCTATGTGATTGTTGGTTATGTTGACAGTGTTGTTATGTATGGCTTGTTCATCGCATTCTGAACTCATGCATGATTCTCAATCGTTTCAGTGGTGTCTTCTCAGGTGTGAAGGCTACTTACCTGCTAGCTGTTGCAAATTTGGAGATCTTGCGGTTAAGTCAGCAAGGTGGTGTAATAAAAAATCATAATGATGATCTGGATTACACTAGTCTGTTGACTAGTGTATTTAAATACTTGGAGAGTACAAACTTGTCACCCGATCTGCATCAGTGTCTTACAGCAATAGTCCACTCTGCTTTCGATGCTGCTTTGGCATGGCTGGTATGCCTAGACATAACATGTTAACTCTTTCCCACTGCTATTCGTTTCCTGCAGGCGTAACCGTTGTATATTATTGGTGAATTCTTATGAGAAATGTACTTTTGATAGTTTAATCTATGTCCAGCTCCTAACGGATAATTATTATTCTGAGATATAAGTGCATTTTGTCAAGAATTACTGTTCATACTGACGACCTCCACCGTTGTGACAGGATAATAGAGTTGCAACAAGTGGTGCTGAGGTGGTCGAGAAAGAGAGAGTGCTGGTTAGTCATGCATGTTTTCTTATCAAGTATGGGACACATCGCGAGGAGTCAGTACGCGAACTTGCTGACAAACTTCTTATCCAGCTCAAAGAAAAATTTCCTCAGGTTGGTGTCTTTCCAATGAAGATTTTGATAAAAATACCTCTTAACCTTGAAAGTGTCTTTTCTTTTTGAAGACTGGTGCTACCTGAGCCCCTTCTAGTTTTTGAAGATATAGCTGTTATATTACCTTTTCTATGCACCCTGTGTCTTGAATTTCAAAAACTGTTGTCTAGGTGCTGTGGAACGGCCAATGTTTGGAGGCACTTCTTCGCCTTTTATCTGAGCAATCAGGAGCTCGCCCAGGGGAGAGCCGGTCTAATCTATCCTCTCGCACAACGATGTACCACATTCATCCACGTATAAAAGAGTGGCTCACCCGTGCCCTCGCTATTGCTCCCTGCACTACTCACGGTCTCTTGCAGGTACTGCACCTCACTGGAGTTTACTTTCGATGTATCGCATATAATTTTCAATTTGACCGATTTGGTACAGAATGCACAAAAGTTTACACCCATAATAACTTCCCAAAAAGTCCAAACGTTTTCTTGATTCTGATCAAGCCTTCGAAATGTCATGAGCCAGATTTAACTACGCCTTATTTCTTGTGGCTTTGGTGCTTCACTTTTACTAACAATTTAACGCATTAACCGTTGATATTTCTTTCAGGAATATATTCGGCGAGTGGGTTCATGGCAAAAGGTGGCTACTTTGCTTTCTGGCATAGAATGTGATACACACAACTTTAGTACAGAAAATGTACCGGCTGTAGCTGCAGCTTCTGCAGCCGCGGCAGGAGATGGTATGAGTAGTGCTAATGTGAAATCCGTAGAGATAGTGAGCATGAAAAGACTTCTTGATGGGAGTCTTGGTGGACTTCCTCTCACTAATGGATTACAGTCTAAAGAGACATCAATTCAACTTGGGTTCCACAACTCAAGTCATTTGAAACAGAAGAGTGGTGCGGTGACCTTTTTGACAGCTCGTTATGTGCAACAAATGCAACACTATTTAACAAGCTCTCAGCTTGGTCAACCTGTTGATGGTGATCAGTTCAGAGCCACCTGCTTGCAGGCTTCCGCCCTACTTCTTTGTGATACGGTATGGTACAACTTCACAGAACGGAATTCATTTTTGCTTGAAATAAGCCCTAAATTATCTCCACATTTCATTAGCTTTACGTATTTAATCTGCGACTAAATGGGAAACTTCCTTCTTGCAGGAAGCTAGTGCAGATGTACTTCCAGAGGGTGCCTTGCAGCTATTGCGCCTTTTGTGTTGGTGTCCGGCTCAATTATTTACAGTTGAGGTGATGGAAACGGGTGTTTTTGTGTGGACATGGCTTTTAGCAGCAGCACCTCAGCTTGGGTCACTCGTCCTCGCGGAACTTGTGGATGCCTGGCTGTGGACTGTTGCCAGCAGGCGGGGCCTATTTGCTGCGGGTATTGACAACTCCGGTCCTGCGGCAGTGCTGCGTCCTCACCTGACAGCTGGGATCTCCAACTCCCCGTGTACTCGTGATCCTGTGGAGGGAATCATGGCACATCGTCTATGGCTAGGCTTTATGCTTGACCGTTTTGAGGTGAGTCTGAATGGCAGTACCATTTCAATTGGATCGAAGCAAAATGTAGCAATATTTGAACGAGCCTCTTGAATGTTAGCTAATTAACGAAGATCATCCTCAATATTCTGAATCAGGATCTTCTGTCACAAGTTGTTTTCAAGAATGAGTCCTATCTGAATTGAAGGTGTGAATGCTTATTTTTGTAACCGTTCTCTAGCTGGCGGTGATTCATTTTTGTGTGACCACTTGGGGAGTTTTGAAATGGTTTATTTATTATTGATTAATTGGTGGTCTTTCAGGTGGTTAAGTACACTGGAAGTGACCAGTTGCTTTTAATCTTTCGCATGATGCAAGGTTCAATGCAAACCTCAAACCATTTTTCATCACATCCCGCAGCTGCTGGCAGCTTCTTTACGTTATTACTTCTGGGCTTAAAGCTTTGTGAGTGTTCAAGTGCGAATGGCTACTGTACTGAAACTTTTGGAGCAAGTTTGCTGCACGATCACGTTTACAGGTTTGCAAATTTAGGAGTTTTGTGGTGTTAATTTTGATGTATAATAGAGCTTGTTGAGGGTCCTCAGTAATTGTGATAGGGGAGAATGTACACCAAGTAGATTTAATTGGCGTTCTTTGTGACCTCTTTCTGGGGTTTGAGGGTCACATAGTTTCTTACAATGAGATGCTTCTATGGTCATGTGGTTGTTGGTTAAATTAAGATTGAACCCCTTTTAATGTGTTTGTGACATTCCTTTGTTGATTGTAAAGGAATATGATAAGTTATTGTGATTTGTCAAGGTTTGATGTTGGCTTTATTGTTGCGAGTAGAATTCAACAATGAAGTCAACATATGATGCTAGTAGAAATGTTGTTCATACTGATGCCAGTTACAAGAGGGTATCCAAAATGCACTTTTAGTTTGGATAAGACAGAATACAATCTACTTGTGATGAGACCTGTTTAAAACAACAGGTTTTGAAAACTTCTTTACTGAAGTCATGCCATGATGTGTGTGTAAATGTGTTCACAGAGCTGCATTTGGTTGGTTTTCGGTGGAGCCTGGATGGTATCAGATCCCCATCGAAGGTATGGCAAAGGAGGAGGCTCAAGCTGTTGCTATCTTTGCTCAATTTCTTGCACAGGACAGTTTTGAGGGTGTCTGCAATAGTGAAGTGTTAAGGCGGTCGTCAAGAAACGGGTCTTTGTCTTCGCCAAGAAGTCCCACACAGACGCAGGTAATCACTTGATTCTTAAATCCAACTCTTTCCTTTTTACATGTTTGTCGAAGTTGGAGATTGACTTTCTTCGATTTTTATCATTTTTCAGGTGAGTAATCATCCTGTTTGGGAAAAGGCAAATAATGATTCAGCTGCCAGAGATAGAAGAAAGCTTCTATTATTACTTTGTCAACACGAAGCGGACAGACTGGAGACATGGGCTTTTCCTCTCAGGTAGGCACATATTTCTGCAATAATGTTGGAGCGCCACATTTGGTTCATACTGCTAGTATGTTAAATTAGGAGAGGCAATTTGCACTGTGATCTTGTTACCGAGCCTGTTGCACGATTTCTCTTTCAATTGTGTTGTGCTTAGCAGATTGATGAGGTCTGCTTTGGACTAAACCCTGAAATTTACAGAGACCACATGCAACTTCGTTTTAAGCCCAACTCAGAGTCATGGGGAGTCCATGTGAAGACAGCTTGGGCTGTGGATCCACGCATCGCTTTGGCTCTTGTCGCCCGTTTTCCTGGAGCTCTCTCTTTAAAGACAGAGGTTGCGTCTATGGTCCAGGTCTGCCTTCAATCTCATTTTCACTTATATAATGTAATCCCTACGGATGAAATGACTTAACTAAATTTATTACGACTTGGTGAGAAAGTCTATTGGGATTGATTTTTTCTAATCTTTACCACTCCTGTATATCTTGTCTTAATGCAGGCCCATATCCCTGACTTAGTCAATGTACCACAGGCTTTAAGATATGTTGTTACGCCTTCAGTCGTAAAAGAGGATTCAGAAGTATTGAACTGGCTTCCTCACTGGGCATCATGCTCTATTACTCATGCTCTTGAGTTCTTTACTCCACCTTATAAAGGCCACCCTCGTGTTATGGCTTACGTTCTCCGCGTCTTGGAATCGTATCCACCTGAACGAGTCACGTTTTTCATGCCCCAGCTTATACAGGCTCTACGCTACGATCATGGGGTAATCATGTCCTACTTTTTTGTAGTTCTCGAAGACGGCTGTCATGCAGTATGGCGAATTTTGGAATTTTAATGTCCAACGCTTTGGACCTTCGACATGCTTTGTTACTGAAAACCGTATATAAGTTTGATCTGTGCTCACAGAACTGTTGAGTTGATTTTAGTGCCATTACTTGACGAGATTGTGTATTTGGGTTCAGGGGCTGGTGGAAGGTTACTTAATGGTTGCTGCACGAAGAAGTAACCTGTTTGCTCATATTTTGATATGGCAGCTTCAGGTAATTTCAGCCAATCAGCCATGGTTTGAGACTGAAGCTAAAGTTTTACATGGATACGTGTATGCTTATACACATACATACTTTTTTGTTCTCTGAGAGTTTCTGATGTCTTTGCTCAAACTGCAGGGTGAAGAAGCACCACCTGCAGAAGAAGTAGGAAAGGAAGGTGTCAATGTAAAGGTACAGAAAATCTCAAGGTTTTGTGTTTAATGTGTCTGTACCATAAACTCATTTTGTCTTGCACTGCGTCACTACTATTCAGGAATTATTGATTGGGTACCACACCTCTAAAGTTATGTTAGTTCATTTGCTTCGGGGGAACAGAACCTTCATAAGGACGTCAGCTTTCAAATACTTAAAGCTAATCTAGGTTTTAATAGCAGTTGTGTCACTCTTTCATACCTACAGCTTTTGTGTTGGCATTTGGCTATTTGACAACTTGATGATTATTAATAAGGGGATTTGGATACTTTGGCAGAGCCCTTTGTACGAGATAGCCCCTAGAGTGATACAGCGTATCATCGATAGCTTCACCCATGAAGCATTCACCGTGTATGATGAAGAATTTCAGTTTTTTGACAAAGTCACATCAATATCTGGTGTACTTTTTCCCTTACCTAAAGAATCTCGTCGAGCAGCGATCCGTAGGTAAAACATCGTATTTTTCTAGCACGACCTGTCGAATTTTGATCCAGAAGTTAATCCTAGTCAGTTTGGTTGTATAGAAATTGGATCTTCATGCTCATTTCTACTGTATGATAATGTTGATTTCCATAGAACGCACAAGAAAGTGCCAGTAAATGGCCGTTCCACAGCATAAGAGGAAGACTTTATAGGCACGTCTTTCTATTATTATGCCTTTCACAATATCCTGTGCTAACTGGCACCGGTTGTAGCTAAGTCCTTTCACGTCTGGAGTAAAACAGTTAGACTGGAATTTTTATTCTCCTTTAGACTCATAATTAAGTATTATATCCAGACAACGATCTCAAGTAGTACTAATTAATATGGTTATAACACCTGTGCAGAGAACTGGAAAAGATTCAAGTGGACAGTGATGCTTTGTATCTACCTACTGATCCTAACAAACTCGTGAAAGGCATTGAGCTAGAAAGTGGTATCCCCCTACAGTCTGCAGCGAAGGTTCCCATTATGATAACATTTGACGTGGTGAACAAGGACGGAGATCACAATCAGTTGATGCGACAAGCCTGCATATTCAAGGTTCATAATCTAAATCTGTTATCAAACTGATGATTGAGAGCTGATTACATCCTTTGGAGATGCCTATATTCCGTGCGATTTGTTGGGAATTAGATTAAGAAGCGAAATGTATTGGCTGCTCAACCGTCAGCTGGACACAGATGGCCTTTCTAATAGCAGAAAATGGATCGTTGAGGAATACGCAGGTTGGAGACGATTGTCGACAAGATGTGCTGGCTCTGCAGGTCATTGCCCTTTTGAAAGATATCTGGGAAGCGGTCGGTGTCGATCTTTATCTTTTCCCATACGGGGTCCTTCCGACAGGCTATGGGAGAGGAATTATTGAGGTACATTAATCTGGTCGCTTTTTGCTCAGAAGCTTCTCTATTGTCACAGAACTTTCGTCCAAGTCTTGAAATATGTTATTCCATTGAACATGGGGCTTTGTTCATGCTGAGAATCTCGGGTTATTTGTATGTGTTTACAAAAATATGCAATGACGAGACTACGTTGTGACTTGTGACTGCATCAAGGTCATGTTTTCAAGAGTCATGTGGTCCAAGTCCGCTGGAACTACCTCAAATTGTGAATATTATTCGTGCAGCTTCTGTCCCTGCAATGTCTGAAATGAAGTTGAACAAACTAGGCAATATTGACGGTGTCTAAATAAAATGTAGGTTGTTCCAAATGCACGGAGCAGGAGTCAAATGGGAGAAATGACAGATGGTGGTTTGTTCGAGATTTATCTACAAGAGTATGGTCCTGTGGGCTCTGATGGTTTTGAGAGGGCTAGGAACAACTTCATCGTCAGCAGTGCTGGCTATGCTGTGGCAAGCCTTCTATTGCAGCCTAAAGATCGGCATAATGGCAATCTTCTTTTTGACGAGTACTATCTTCCTTTTACGATTCTGCCAGTGATTTTCTGACATTTCTTTAAGTGCCTTTATTTGTGCAGCACTTATAAAGTAGTGCCCTAGAAATATACAAATGTTATTATAAGATGGAAATTTTATTTTTAATGGTCTGTACTAGTTTCTTACAATCCTGTGTTGTACTGTTTCTAGTGAAGGGAGACTTGTCCACATCGACTTTGGATTTATTCTGGAAACATCTCCTGGCGGGAATATGCGTTTTGAGAGTGCACAGTTCAAGTTGAGTCACGAAATGACTCAGCTCATTGATCCCTCAGGCAACATGAAAAGCGAATCCTGGGAACATTTCGTTAGGTAAAGCTATTTAACCTGCTAGACATCTTCCATATGAGCCAGGTCATCTTGTGAACAACTGTGTTTATGTTCGCTGCACACATGCAAGGATTAAAAGCTTTAGTGTTTTTATTGTTTCTTTTTCGTAATTCAGGGACTTGAATCAAAAGTTGAAATATGTTCAGGTTGAATCAAAAGTAAGACCATCTTCCAGTTATGATAACATTCTATGAACATGGTCATATGATGCAATTGTTGTGCTTTAGGTGAGGGAAAAGAGACTCCGATTATCTTGTGCCAAAAGTATGTCTGAGCTTTTGTTGAATGGATCTGGATGGTGGCAGTTTGTGTGTGAAGGGCTACTTGGCAGCCAGGAACCACATGGATGGAATAGTAAACACAGTTCTTCTCCAGGTGGACAGTGGTCTCCCTTGCTTCAGTCGGGGTGATCCTATTGGGAACTTGCGGAAACGATTCCATCCCGAGATGAGTGAGCGAGAGGCAGCAAATTTTATGATGCAGACATGTGCAGATGCTTACAATAAGTGGAGCACAGCCGGCTATGATTTGATACAATATCTTCAACAGGGTATTGAAAGATGAGACTAATACCTTCTTCGATTCTAACAGATGTCAAACGGACAATCACTGGCCGGACAATGGCATATATGATTCTTTTGTAGAAACCAATAAAACTGCACACCGTGTGGGGCCCAGCACTGAAGACATGTACATGTACTAGTTTGCTGGCACCGTTTAAAAGTAGACATTTCTTCATTTGATTTTAGTTACTGTCCAATGTATTATAGTTGCTTAGGGTAGGAGTGAGGGTTGAAGAGTGTTATATTTATTTGCTATGGTACTCTCCTAACGGTAAGGCCATGAATGGCTTACGATTGTATCATGATCACTTGCAGTAATGGACTCAGATTAGGATTTTATTTTTATATTTGTTCTTTGAAATGGTGAAAACTTTCCATGTTGAAAATTGTCTCTATGTTGAAGATGGTGTTTTTATGTAAAAGGTGGTGTTTATTTGTTTGTTGGAATGAAAGTTTTATGAACCCTAAACAAATAACTAAGCCTTTTGATTATATTTGCATTTATTTATTTATTTATTTATTTATTTGTTTTGTAGGAATTTAGTACCTAGGATGACCAATTATGTTATCATATAGATTAACTTCGTATAGATTAACTTCGCATTCACAGATAGACAATGTTCTATTATAGCCACATTATAATATGTTTAAGAAACTGCTTAGTGTACATCCCTTTTTGACCATGTGGACACCTCATGTAATACACTTCTACATACATGCATTAAAACTTATTTATATCAAAAAGTTTTAAGATAAATTTATGGTAATTTTTTTGTACGCAATGGCTATTAGAATGTTGTTCTTGAGTAAGTTTAATAAATATTTATAATATATTTCATGCAATTCTTTCATTTTTTTTTAAAAAGCTTGTTAATTTTATTTAGAGAATCATTTACTTAATATTTACTCTAAAATCTTTAAGTATAAATAAGAGTTTTATTGTGTATGGAAAGGCATATGGCAAGAGAGGTGTTGATGTAGAAAAAGGTGTCTACTTAGCAGTTCTCTACATTTAACATTTGAGTGTTTTATATTTTTCTTTCCAATTATTCTATGATACAAAAACATCAAAGTTGGTAATTAATAAAATTTACATGCACTCAAAACATGCAAATCTAATGCCACCTTACAAAACAACACGTAAAATACATGTTGAATTTCTAAGGATATTATAGCCTTGTCTAATTCTAAAACATGTTAGCATTTTTCTCATCATATGTAATCTCATACATGTTATTTTTACCAAAACTAAAAAGTATTATTTTTGTTGTAAATCCTCAAATTGGCACTATATTTGCATTCCAAATTTGTGTATCTTCATATTCTTTCATTTCCTCAATCTATTGATCTATATCTTTAGTTCATTATGCTATATTATCATTCCATCTTTGTTTACTTTTATCATTGATTGATAAAGTAGCATTTTTAAAGGAATACTTGTATCTTACTTGCTAAAATCACTCTTTCTTTGCATCAATATTTGCAATATTCTTTTTATTGTTATACCACTGCATTATATATATTATTACAAAAAAATCAATACAAGTTTAAAAATATTTGTTTCTTTTTAACTTTAAAGGCATCAAATCTTACTTCAAAATACTCTAATATTTATAATTATTTTATTTTATTTTTTATTCTTTTTTGATTTCCATTCAAAAAAATTTCTTCTTTAACTTTTGTAAATCTTCTTTATAACATCTCAACCTCTTTTGTCCTCCTTAAAAAATGTGCCTATAACTTCCAAATTCAAAAACAACCTATTACAAGGTTCTAGAATTTGTTTGCCAACCTCAATAAGTCCTTTAGGTAATTTCTCATCATCTTTGTAATAATAATTCATAAGTAATTTTATTTTTTATTTTATTATTATTATTTTTTTGTTAGTTTTCTTTAATATATATTATATAAAACTTTATAAAAAATATTTTACCACCACTTAATTTTGTGTTGTCACAATTAATATGTTAATTTTGCTAGGATACAAACTATTCTCAAGAACAATATCATTAACTTGTCTTTCATCTTACACATCATCTAAAAGAATTATATATATATATATATATATTCATAAATATATTTTCATTATTTTTTGAGCTCTATTCAAATTCTTTGGTTTTGAATTGAACATAATGTGTCTCTAATACTTAGCAGTTTTTTTTGAAAAACCATCATCTTCACTTTAAATACTAAAAAAAAAAAAAAAAAAAAAAAAAAAGAAAAACAAAAACATGTTACATCATACAAGTGCTTTATGTCATCAAATATAGCCTCTTGGTAATATAAACTCGCATATTCTACTCATATCTATTATATGTAAGGCCTTCATTTCTTCTTTGCATAGTTATTTTTATATTCAGCAAATATTATACAATACCAAATAATATCTCTTTATTTTTATCTATGTGTTTAAACAATCAAATCATAGACTTAATAAAACATGAATTGTATATTTTAGACATTTTTACTTATTAATATCAAACCATAACCAAAGTTATATGAATAAATAAACAAATTCCAGTTCCACTCAATTTAATCTTCCTTATATTAAATAAATTCTCTAGTTTAGGATTTATTCATAAAACTTTGATATTTTTCTATATTAACTTATGCTTTTAATGATCTTATTTTTTCAATATTAAAAATTATGGTGTTTTGGCTACTTTTATTTCTACTTTTATTTCTATTACTTTTGAAAAATTAATTTTTTTGATGAATTAATAAAAATATGCCATCTTAAATTTTTGAATGTTTTATAAATTTTGATAAGATAGTATAGATATTAATATTATTATGTTGTAAGAGCCTTCTTAGAGAATTATTATAGCATTTAGGAATCTAGTGACATATATTTTTAATATTATATGATTGTCCAACTTGTCAACATTATGATATTGACTATTTATCTAAAGCATTGTATGTACAAATTTTTGATGGTGTATTCTTAAGAATGTTTTTTTAATTATAAATTAGGTTGAATAAAGTTTTTTGCATGTTCTAAAGCAATTATTTTCCATGTTAACTATGATGACTACTACTTAGTCTAATTATAATTGTACACACATTGCATATTCTATGTCAGTTTTTTATTTGCTTATTTTATTTAATCCTTCAAACTACTTTTGTACAGCCTAAAAAATGTGTGTATTTTTCTTAAGCTATCTCTTGATACAAGATAATTTATGTTATAGCTTAATATTTGAAGTGGTGAAAAAATTACTTTTAATTTTACAAAACATGTTATATAGATTGTTTTGTAGATTTTTGCAACATAATCCTTCCAACTATAAAACAACACATTTTATGCACAAAAAATTTAGTTTTACATTATTAAAAAAATTAATAAATATAAAATATTATAAAAATATAAATTAAATAAATTTATTAGAACTATTTGTACATCAATATACATCTAAAAAATACAATAATGCTTGACTAATATGAAAATGTTATATTCATATTCTATCAAATGTTAAAGAATTTTGATATCATAATAATTTCTGTACTTGACATTTGAATAATAGTTAAGTACATTATTTTTTTTTGAAATTGCATGAAATGGCTGTACACTCATGTTTCATGTTCATGTCTCTTTAAAATTCATTTCAGTTTCAACAATCTTTCTACCCATGTCACGTAGCTAATCATGCATACTTAAAATTCCATCTTTGTCTATTTTATTGATGATTTTTTTTTTTATCAATGTTTCTAATGTAAAATCAATGTAATATTTTTTTAATATATATATATATATATATATATATATATTTAATATTAGCCTATTTTGTAATATCTTTTCTTTCAACATACCATCAAGACATACATCATTACAAAAAAATAATATAGGACTAAGAACATATTCTTCTCTTTAACTTTCAAATTGTCAAAACTTATTTTTAATATAATCCAAATCTTATGGTCACTATTTTTTTCATCTCTATCTACCTCCTTTCTCTTTTTTAAACCTTTATAAAGCTCGCTTCCAACACCTCAACATCTTTTTTTCTCTTAAAAATGCACTCATAACCTTTAGACTCAATAGTAGACTATTGAAAGCTTTTACAATCTTTTTTCAAACTTTAATAAGTTCATCAAGCATCTTATCTTTATATCTATGAGAATAAGTAAATAACTTCAAACTTTTTTCTTTATTAAGTTTTTTAATATTTATTTTATATATTTTTTTATTAAAATATTCTATAATTTTTTAAGCTTGAATTGTTGTAATTAATGTGCTACTATTGCTATGAATTAAATCATACATGTACAAAACATCTTCAATTTGACTTTGATTCTTTACATCATCAAAGACTAAAATGACTTTATTTTTGGTCAAGAATAATTTCAATATTCCTTGAACTTCTTCCAAATCCTTTGGTTTTGATTCATTTTAATTTTTTTCTAAAATATAGCATGAAGTTTTATAACAATCACCACCACGTGCATTGCAATCAACAAAGTATAAAGCATTATATGTGTGCTTCACATTATTAAATATTTCCTTTGTTATTGTTGTCTTGTCTATTCCATTCATTCCAACAAGATATAATGCCTTTACATTACTTGTACATAGTTGTGATATTTGCAATAAATATTATCTTCTATCAAATACCTTTTCTTTAATTATATCAATCTATAATTAGAAATTAAATCATAAGTTAATATAAAAGAAATAAATGCACAATATGCACATTGCATCCTAATTGAATTTTATAAATTTGTTCTTTCATTAAATCATATATTTATCACTATTGCATTTAAAACTTATACAAAAAAAATAAAATCATTTCTAGTCAATCTAATTAATTCAATATACTTTTATCTCATTTTTTAGTACAAGTTTTGTTAATAAAATTGTAATATGTATTCTTTATAATTCCATAATTTGATGACTTTTGTTCCTTGACGCACAAAAATTTGGTGTTGATTCTTGTAATAATCTCAGTTATTTTTTTTCTTCAATTGAATTAATCCTTTACATACACTTGCAAAGTTTGGTTGTTGAAAAGAATTCAAGCTCCAACACTCTTGAATGAGCTTAATCAATTTATTACAATTTAAAGTTAAGCATGGTTTATCATCTTTTCTATTCTTTCCAATATCTCTTTTCTTGTTCTTACATCAAAAAATGGATCATTTTTAGAAAGAATCTTAAAACATATCATTTCAAATGAAAAAAAAATCTTCAAACGAGCACATAGTCATTGTTTGAAATTGATTCTTCAATACTTTAAGAGCAATGTATCTTATAGTACCATAAACATGCTTATTCTTTTTAGCTTTTAGTTTGCTTCCAACTTCAATCTTAGATATTCTAAAATCAATCACCTTAACAATTTTATATT